TAGGGCTAAAAGAAGGAGTTTTTTTTTTTTTTAATTTCTATACTCTTAATTATATTTACTACTTCAAATCTATTTAAACTCTCCTTGTTGTTTAGTAATATTTTATTAGATTACCATCAGATTAAGAAACCATTTTCCCTTTAAGTTACTTTCCAGTTCAATAACTTCTGACTACAGTAGCAACAAGGGGCATTGATGTGCACATAATTTTGATAAATATTTGTTATATTAATTAATAGTTTATTAAACATTAAACATTTTTTAAATGTCTACTGTTTGACAGATATTGTGTCAGCCCAAGGATGAATAAGACCCATTTTCTATTATCGAGGTCACAGAATCCAGGATAAAAATAGCTTGGAGTTTGGTATATAAATTACTGAGTAGTTAAGTATTTTGGATTTAAAGAAAGAACAATAATAAACTTTAATTATCTTTTCAGTTTAAGAAAGGATTACTGAATTCTAATTTGGGTGAAGAGAGTGTTATTAATACGTCTCTGTAATGGATGGTATAGCATCCTCTTCTGTTTACCTTTCATGTGGAATGTCTAATGTAACTGAGGTGTGAGCCACCTTGTATCTCCAGGTGCTTGGTTACAGCGGTCCCAGTGCTACCAGAGTGGTAGCATCAGAACTCTATGCCAAGTCTTTGTGGTTCTAGTAGAGCAACCACACGTCCGACGTTTTACTAAAACATTATGGTGTCCACTTCCTCATGTCCAAGTGATCGTGAAGCTGTGAATGTAATGTATGTCCAATTAAAATAACACAAATATTTGCCTGTTTTGGACCAGTCGATAAAACAAATTTACATTGAATATAGTCACTTTATGAGTTTGACCTTACTCATTCATCTCAACATGAGCCTCCTGTCTCAGGCGGTAACACAAAAGCCCTAAAATGAAAAATAGAACTTTTCAATTCTAAAGAGCATGGAGATTACTGTGCATGAAACCAGTGTCTTAGGTATGGAGCATTTACTCACACAGTATTAATCCTGGTAGAAGCTGAATATCTACAATATAGTGTCATGAAAACACAAAGAAAGAGAGCATGACTTGAGCCTATAAAGGAAAGCAGTAAAATTGCCTTTGAACCTACTGTGGGCAGGAGCTTACACTGTTGACCAAACCATGTTTGTTGCACATTACATTTGAGAAAAAAATATTCTTTTGTAAGAGGTTATAGAAGTAGAGTTTGTTAAGTTGGGGAAAAAAGATAACTGTTTTGGGTGTTGCATTCTAAACAGTTTCATTACCATTATAAGAAATAAGATTGCAAAACCAAAATGAACATCAGCTACCCAGTGACTCTATTGGTTGTCAGCCCTCAGGTGATGGTCCTGGGCTGGAGTTGTATTTGTAAACAATACAATTCCAGGTTTGCCAACAAAACATGAGAGTTCCTTAAATTTTGTTGTATTGAAATATGATAAGTGTGTAGCTCTGATGGACATTTAGTCACGTGCCACATAATGATGCCAACGAGGGCCTGCATACACAATGGTGTTCCCATTAGATTACGATGTAGCTGAACATCCAGTAAGGCATGGAAGAATTTGTGGTTCAGGGGTATTTTTCATTTCTCTGATGAGTTGCTTAGATGTAGTGCAAATACTTACCATTGTGCTATGACTGCCTGCAGCTTCAGTACAGTAACATTCCATACAAGTTTGTAGCCTGGGAGCAATAAGCTAGACCATATAGCCTAGGTGTGTAGTAGGCTATATATCATGTTTGTGTAAGTGCACTCTGTGATGTTCACACAACAATGAAATCACTTAATTACGCATTTCTCAGAATGTATCCTTATCATTAAGTGATACATGACTGCATAAAATCAGAAATTTTCAAGTTTTCACCAGATATACCATTTTACATTCATCACTGTAGTTACTTACCTATCAGCATGTGTTTTCACCTGTTTGTGACCAGAAGGCAAATTAGAGAAGCTTTAATGTCGTCGCTTAGCTTGAGCATAAGGAGACATCCCAGGGAGTTTAAGGCAAATGATGCGCATGACAGAGGATATGTAACTACACGGTGACAGAATTGGGCAAGAACTCAGGGCTCCTCCTCCTAAGTTCAGTGCTTCTTTGTGACATTGTCCTCTGAATCTGTTGTGATGGACTGTGCAATTTCTCAGTATTATGTCCCCATCTGCGGACCATCTCTAGTCAGGTAAGCACAGGACACCTGAGAGGGTCCCTAGGCTCTGTCGCTATTAGTCTACATCAGGCTTCTCCACTGTGCCTGAGTCTCGGCTTCCTTCTTCCCTTCTGAAGTAGACCTGACAGCCACTGTTGCATCAGAGCTCTGCCCTCCCGCTTCTCACACAGAGTCGGCACACGGAGTTCTCATCCTCTCCAGAGCAATGAACTTGCCCATCTGCAACCCAGGGGGGAGGACAGAGAAAGCTGGTCTGCCTCCTGGGTCTTTAGCCACTGCAGCTTCTAATGCTTGTGCTTTCTTGTTTGTTTTCTTTCTGTCAGAGTCTATAACTATTATACATGGAAGAGTGAACAGAAATGGGGCATATTTATAGAGAGTCAGGGCTGGATTTAAGGCAAGGAATGTTCAGTACAACATGGAGAGCTAGCAGAGAGACCACAGGCAGATAACGGAAAGAAGAGAAAAGCCAAGGGACAGAGGCCCAACCAGCTCACTTCTCTCATCCACCTAAACGGCCTGGGGAATGGAGAATGGACGTGTCTGCGTGTCCGCGTGTGTGTTCAGGGGGCAGTTCATGTGTAGTTTATTTTAGGTTTGATTATTTTGCTTTTTAAGTTAAAGTGAATAATCATGAAAGCTCTGTAAACCTGATTCATATGGAATAAAAGAGCGTGTTCCCCATTGGGGGATAAAGACATTTTATCTTATGTAAATGCTGGATACTATCTCTAATGAGAAATGCAGGTCCAACTATGTCCAATTACAAACACTTACTACATCTTTGATTATACATCTAAATTCTCCATATTCAAAATAATGTGGTTTTTTCTTTTTATTTTTCTTCTCTGTAAATGACCTAAGAGTTAGACATAACCTTTCCATAAACACCGTCAGTAGTATTTTAAAGCAGCTTTCATTTATAAGAGATTTGAAAAAAAAATTTCTAATTAAACCGGTAATGAAAAAGAAGAGCTAGAGTCTTGGATTTGTTTCTTTTTTGCCATTGTCAGCAACAGCATTGCACAAGGATGATGTTTAAGAAGAATTGTTATTAACCTTTGCAGTTCTTCCAAAGCTTAGGGTTTTTCTATTTCTAAAATTGAATTCTCTCTAGTTTTTGTTTGTTTTGTTTTGTTTTTAATACAAGAAACAGCCCTTTGATGGGGATGCAGGTTCAGAGTTTCAAAAATATGGAATTACTGAAGTACGGGGAGACTTGAATCAGCACTCACATATTTATTAATGTCAGGCCAACTCGAGTAATTAAATATAGATGCAGTTGATCATTAGACGTTTCACAGGTGGATAAACAACATTCTGTAGTTTGCTTATACATGTTAGAAATAGTCTCTGTTTTTTCTTATTCTTTGGTTGAACATGGGCCAGAAAGAATGCCTTCAATTACACTGATTTGCTTTTTTTCTCTTGTCATGTATTTCACACAACGGTGGAGGGTGTTTTGTTTAATTCTCATCGGGTTTAACTAAAAAGTGGTTTTAAACATTTACGTTGAAATTAAAGCTGACATTTTTTTTTTTTAACCTAGAAAGAGTTAGGTCTTGCTGATACCAACAGAATGATGTTTTTCTTCTCTTAGCCACATGAAACCTCAATATACCCTACTCGTTGCACAGGTGGACCTTAAAAAATCACTTTCAAGGTACCACGGCTGAAGATTGAAGAGTAATATTTATCAACATTAAATAGATACTTGATGAAATATGCATAAATATTTCTTCATATAAACATAACACGCAATTAAATAGTTCAGAAACACAGACACCACTGAGTATACTTCCACTGTTGTCAAAGTTGCCTGTAAACACCAGCTCACACAGAACACAAAAGCAGCTTCTACCCTGGCTCCGGTGATCACGGAAGCCCTGTACAAAGGTGAGGTTTCTCCTCAGCCCCGACCCCTTGCCCCACCACCCTACCCTCCCTTTCTTTTTTAGCAAAAGGAAAAGAAAGAACCCCAACAATTACAGTAGCAACGAAAATGACAGCAACAGTAGAATCCTTCCTATCCCCCAACAGAACATTTTGCATTTTGGTCAATTCAAAAGAGAATTTAAAAAATCATTGTTTCAAAATGGAAGGAAATAAATGTGAAGCATTACTTTTCAAAGTGTAATTTTTTCTTTAGAGGATATGTGACTTCCTAAGCCCCACCTATTACTGGGCGAAGGTCACAAGATCTTAAAGACCAGAAAGCACTGGCAATGGCTAAGTAACAAAGGTGTAGCGTTTCATTTACAAGATACCAGGAAGCAAGACATTGCATACCGTATTCTCCATCAGCCCCCCACAATGTCTTTTTGCTTTGCCATAAATATCGCTGTGTATGACATTCAAATGCGACACTATTATTGAATTGTAAGCAGTTTAGATAGCAGAAATTTTGCTGGGAAACACTCAGATATGGACAATTAAATTCAAGCATGTGGCTGTGGTTCATTTTTTGAGTTCAGAGGGGCCCGATTTGATTTAGCTTGGTTGAGGGTATCAACAAGGAGACAGATGACATTGAGTCTGGTCAAGCCATGGTACTTGACATGAATCACAAGGCTGTGACCTGCTCAGACCTGCCAGGAAGTCCTGGCTGCTCTCTGCTGCACGGTCTGCAGGGTGGTTTGCGTAAAATAGCCCTGGTTTTCTAAACATTTCACCGCATTTATTTCACTTTTATGTTGTGTTAGGATGCTCGAGAATTCAGTTACTGAAGTACTGAAATCATATATTGCAGGAATAATTTGCCAGTTCAGTGATTCCCATTATATTATATACACTGTGTGTGTGTTCACACACACACACATATATACACACACACACTTATATATTTTTATTTGTAAGAAACTTGAACTGCATGAAACAGTACTTTGCAGGAATCAATAATCAAGTCCACAAATAGAGTTTAGCGATACACCAAAGAGAAGACAAAAAGCCCTACTTGGACAAGAAGATCCCGCTTAGCAATATATGAAGTAGATTTAGAACCCTGGATGCACTAGTCTGACGTGCTCCACGAGGGATCTGTATCAACACTTTCGGGGTTCTTGTAAAGAACGTGGCAACTGGGCCAGCTAGTTTAGCTTAGCTAAGATTCCAGAACTAATGGGAACGAAAAGAACCAAGCAGATCAATTTGGGTGTATAATTGCTATGAAACAACTCTTTTTCCTCTTTAAGAAAAAAACACTTAAAGTGTACTTCAGAATAAATTTCCTTATATTCAGTAACATGCTTTTTTTGTGCTGAATTGGCATTTGACTTTTTGTATTAAAATGGGTTTATCCAATGGGTCAGTAAACAGGCAGCTTCTTTCACATCTGGGTGATAAAAAACATTTTTTATCATCACCAGAAATCACTCTACCCTTGCCTTATCCCCCTCCTAAGGTTTGTGGGTTGATGTGTGCATTTGGTCATTGCTGTTGACAAAACCTCATTCTACAAGGCCTGCTCCGGCACACGCTTGTGAAAAATCACTGACTGTCTTTGCTGGTACTGCTGCTTGCGTCTCTTCCTTTTGTCACACTGGCACAGTAGCAGCATCTTGAAAGTGGTTCTGAATGTTTTGTTGCACAGGGCATAGCACACGGGGTTCACGGTGCTGTTGATGTAGCACAGCCAGTAGCCCAGATTCCAATAGGTTTTGGGTATACAGCTGTCACAGAAGGTGTTCACCAGGACCATGATGTTGTAGGGGGTCCAGGTGATGATGAAGGCGAGCAGGATGGCACTGAGGGTCTGGGCTGCCTTCTTCTCCTTGATGAGTGACATCCGCTTCCGCTTAGTGATCTGACTTCTGGTCTTCAGAGCAAACCTTTTGGCCAGAGTGGCTTCCTTGAAGGACAGAGGTAGAGTGGCCATGGTCTTACCCACTGAGGAGGTGACATCAGAGGCTTTGGCTGTGTCCACTGCTGACTCTAACTGGATGGGAAGCTTGGAGAAGCTTTTTTGAAAACTGCCACCATCATCCATGCTCTCCTGGGCCTGCAGCTTACTGGCTTTCCTCTCTAAGGCCATTGTCCCCAGCTCCTCGTTGGGGACCTGCAGGTTGTCTGACGAGGGTAACTTGGTGGAGTTGAGGATGGTGCTGTGACCTGGAAGCTTGAGCACAATGGAGTAGATAGCTCTTGTCTCTGAGCCTATGTCCTCCTCGTCAGAGGATGCAGAGTTTTCCAGGGACGCGGCAGCATCGTTGTTATTCCAGCTGTCACTGCTGCTTTGGTCTTGGTCCACCTGCTCAGTACTGGGCTTCCAGTTCCTTGCTGTGAACCAGAAGTGGCAGCGGCCATACTTCCTCCTGGTAGAGCGTTTCAAGCTTTGCTGTTGAAGCTCATAGCTGCTGCAGCTTCGAGAACTGCCTGTGGGGTGGACAAAGTTTTCTGCCTCTGCTTCTGTCCCAGAGGCTTGCAGCCCAGCAAGCTCTTTGGTACGTTTCTCAGTTTCCTTATAGATCCTCCAGTATAAAATAGTCATAATGGTGACAGGCATATAAAAGGCAGCAATGGCCGTGCCAAAGGTGATGGTGGGCTCGCTGAGGAACTGGATGAAACACTCCCCTTGGGGCACAGTTCTCTTCCCAACAAAGTATTGCCAGAACAAGATGGCAGGAGCCCAAAGGACAAAGGAGATGACCCAAGCCAGGCCTATCATCACACCAGCTCTTTTTGTTGTTCGTTTGGCCCGGTACGTGAGTGGCCTTGTGATGGAAAAGTACCTGTCAAAGCTAATTACCAGAAGATTCATGACTGAGGCATTGCTAGCCACATAGTCAATGGAAAGCCAGAGGTCACAGGCCAAGTTTCCTAAAGCCCATCGGTTCATGATAATGTAAGTAGTAAACAGATTCATTGAAATGACCCCAATAATCAGATCTGCACAGGCCAGGCTTAGGAGGAAGTAGTTATTGACTGTCTTCAGTTGCTTGTTGACCTTAAATGCCACTATCACTAGGACGTTGCCGATGATGGTCACCAGAGCCAGGATGCCGGTTAAGAACGCAATAAAGACCACTTGCCAGAGGGTATGACCTCCCAGAGGATCACTGGTGGTGTCGTTTGGAGAAGAGAAATCCCCAGCTGTTTGAGAAATGTTGTAGCTGCCAAAATGAGTGATGATTCCTGGGGGCGGCCCTGTATCTGAGGAGCCACGCGTCCAGGAAGAGCTGATGTTCAGGAAGAAAGGCGAGCGTGTGTCGTTGTTGTGCAAGGTCATTGTGACTCTCTGACATAGTCTGGGGAGAAAAGAGAAAAGATGGAGTTACGAAAATTTCTGCCTTCATTTGCCTTATTCTTTGCATTGTATACTTTAAAAAACATAGAAGCCCTACTATAAGGTTCTGCTTCTCAGAAAGGCCAAAACATAAAATTCATTCTCTTATTTCGAAGGTGAGGAATTTAGGACAGGCAGAGACTGATTTATTCAAGGTAGCACGATTAGCTAGTGGCATGCACTGAACGTTGTGCTTTCCCCCTGCCCTCCATTTTCCACATTTCTAAATATATCCCACATATACGTCCACATAATGCTGCTATCAGACAAAATCTTCCTTTCCTCTCTTATTTTAAAGAGAAAGGAGAAAATATTAGATGCTTATATGATACTTAGCCAGCATAGTTTTATCATCAGGCTACTTTATTCATTTGCATCTTAATCATGTGGGCATGTACCTATCCCAGGCTTCAAACGTAAGTGACTTTAAGGCAATACATCTATTTAAGCCTCATTGGAATGAAGAATATCAAAACCCCGGACTGCGGACCGGTACCGGTCCATGGCCTCTTAGGAACCAGGCTGCACAGCAGGAGGTGAGAGGTGGGCGAGCAAGTGAAGCTTCATCTGGATTTGTAGCTGCACCCCAGCGCTGGCATCACCACCTCAGCAACACCTCAGAACCTCAGGCATTAGATTCTCGTAGGAGCACCGTTCCCTGGCATCAAAAAGGTTGGGGATCGCTGCCTAGATCCATCCATGTTGTTGCAAAAGGTAAGATTTCATTCTTTTTTATGGTCAAGTAATATTCCATTGTATATATGTACAACTTCTTCTTTAACCAATTATATACTGATGGACACTTATGTTACTTCCATATCTTGGCTATTGTAAATAATGCTGCAATGAACATAGAACATATCTTTTCAAATCAGTGTTTTGGATTTCTTTGGATAAAACCCATAAGTGGAATTGCTGGGTCATAAAGTAGTTCTATTTTTGATTTTTTGAAGAATCTCCATACTGTTTTCTATAGTGGCTGCATCAGTTTGCAATCCCACCAGCAGTGCATGAGAGTTCCCTTTTCTCCACATCCTCTTCATTGTTGATTTATTGATGATAGCCATTCTGACAGGTGTGAGGTCACATCTCATTGTGGTTTTAATTCGTACTTCTCTGATGTTTGGTGACATTGAGCATTGTTTCATATGCCTAATGGCCAGCTGTCCTTTTTGGGAAAATGTCTATTCAGGTTCTCTACTCATTTTTTAATTTGTTTATTTTTTGGTGTTAAGTTGTATGAATTCTTTATAAATTTTGGATATCAACCCATTATCAGATATATCACTAGCAAATCTTTTCTCTAGGGTGTCTTTTTGTTTCATTGATGTTTTCTTTTGCTGTGCAAAACCTTTTTAGTTTGATGAAGTCCTATATGTTTATTTACTTATTTTTGTTTCCCTTGCCTGAGGAGATATAGTAGAAAAAATATTTCTAAGAGCAATGTCAAAGAGTTTACTGCCTTCGTTTTCTTCTAGGAGTTTTATCTCCTTGGGTCTTACATTTAAGTCTTTAATCCATTTTGAGTTTTCTCTTACATATAGTATAAAAAAGTGGTCTAGTTTTATTTTTTTGCATATATCTGTCCATTTATTGAATAGACTGTATTTACCCCACTGTATATTCTTGCCTCCTTTGTCATATTAATTTACTATACAGGTATGGGTTTATTTCTGGCACTCTATTCTGTTCCGTTGATCTGTTTCTGTTTTAATGGCCTAATATGTAGTCTACTCTGGAAAATATTCTACGTGTGCTTGAAAAAATTAATATTCTGCTGCTTTGGGGTGAAATGTCCTAAAAATATTAAGTCACTGGTCTAAGGTATCATTTAAATTCACTGTTTCCTTGTTGATTTGCCATCTAGATGATTTATCCATTGATGTCAATGGGGTGAGAAAGCCCCTATCGTTACTGTAGTACTACTGATTTCCTCTTTTTATGTCTGTCAAAATTTACTTTAGATATTTAGGTGCTCTTACTTTGGGTGCAGCCCTTGTTTGAAAGGTTATTTTTCTTTGATATAAGTATTGCTACTGTTTTTTTTTTTTTTTTCGGTTCCATTTGCATGAAATATCCTTTTCTATCCATTTACTTTCAGTCTGTGCTTATCTTTCGATCTGAAGTGAGTCTCTTGTAGGCATCATATGTACAGTTCTTGTTTTCTTAATCTATTCGGCCATCCTGTGTCTTCTGATTGGAGCATTTAGTCCATTTATATTTAAAGTAATTATTTATAGGTTTTCAGTTATTGTCATCTTATTGTTTTCTGATTGTTTTGCAGTCCTCTGTTTTTTTCTTATTCTCTTGCTTTCTTTTCTTGTATGTCGATAACTTTCTATAGTGTTGTGTTTGGATTCCTTTCTCTTTATTTCTTGTATAGCTCTTGTTGATTTTTGGCTTGTGGTTACCATGTGCTTCCTATATACCAAACTATATTTATAACAGTCTATTTTAAGCTGATGGTTGTTTAAGTTTAAACACATTCTAAAATCACTACTAGTATTACTCACTTCCTCCATATTTATGTTTATGTCATTATGTTCTGCTTCTTTTGTGTGTGTATGTTTGTGTGTATCCCTTAATTTATTGTTATAATTACACATGATCTTCCTTTTTTTGCCTTTTAGCCTTTGTACTAGTTGATTGAGCCACTGCTTTTGCTGGCTTTGTCAGCGAGAATTGTTTTTCTACCCTAATTTTCTTATTTATATTTCTTATTTTTCATTTTGTAATTAAAGAAATGCCTTTAACATGTCTTGAAATAATGGTTTAGTGGTGATGAACTCTTTCTGTCTTTTCTTGTTTGGGAAATTCTTCACCTCTCCTTCAATTCTAAATTATAGCCTTGCTGGGTGATCTTGGTTGTAGGTCTTTGCTTTTCATCACTTTGACTTTTTTGTGCCAATCCCTTTTGGCCCGCAAAGCTTCTGTTGAGAAATCAGCTGACAATCCTAGGGGAGCTCCCCTGCATTGTACTGCTTTTATCTTACTACTTTTAAGGTTTCTCTTTGTCTTTAACTTTTGCATTTTGATGTGTCTTGGTATGATTGGGTTCATCTTGTTTTGGACACTCTGTGCTTTCTGGATTTGTAAATCTATTTCCATCAGCAGGTTAAGGAAGTTATCAGTTATTATTTCTTCAAATAGGTTTTCAACCCTTTGCTCTCTCTTCTCCTTCTGCTACCCACATGATTTGATGTTGTCCCAGAGGTCCCTTAAACTATCTTCACTTTTTAAAATTCTTTTTTCTTTTTGTTGTTCTAACTGAGTGTTGTCTTCCATATTGCTGATTCAATACTCTGCTTCATTTCATCCGTTGATTCCCTTTAATGTATTCTTCACTTCAATTATTTTTAAGTTTTTGTCTCTTTGTTGAAGCTCTCACTGAGTTCATTTATTCTTCCCCTAAGTTCATTGAGCATCCTTATAATCAGTGTTTTGAACTCTGTATTTCGTTGATTGCTTGTCTCCATTTCATTTAGTTCTTTTTCTAGAGTTTTCATCTGTTCTTTCATCTGTGACATGTTTATTTCACTCCTTATTTTGGCTGACTCCCTGTATTTCTTTCTATGTATTAGGTAGATCTGCTATGTCTCCCAGACTTGGTGGCCTTATGTAGTAGGTGTCCTGTGGGGCCCAGTAACACAGTCTCCCTGATTACCTGAGCCAGGTGCTCCAAGTGTCCCTTGTGTGGTTTGTGTGTGCCCTCCTGTTGTAGTTGAGCCTTGATTGCTGTTGTCATATCAGTGGATAGGGTTGACCCTTAGGCTAACTGGTCATGAGGTCTAGTCATGATTACAATGGATGAGCTGTTGTGTGGGGGCTGACCCCACAGAATGGGAGTCACTTTTATAGGGCTCTGATGCCAGCTGAGTCGGCCCTTCTGGTGCATCATTTGTGGAGCTGGCTGGATGGTGCTCTGTTGTGGTCTGAAGCTGGCCACTGGGTGTTTTGATTCTGGGGCCTCTTGGGAGGGGCTCTGGTGCAGGCCAAAGTCAGCCACCATTGGTGCCCAGCTTTGGGCCACCTACTGGAAGCTAGAAAGTGATATGTGGGTGAGTGTCTTTTGTGCTGGGCTTGGAGGCACTCGGGAGAGGATGTGTTGTGATCTGAGACATGCTGCCAGTAGTGCTGGGCCTGGGACCTTTTCGTGGGCACGACAATTTGAGCTGACAGGTTGGTGGCCACTTAGTTGATGTTATGTTCCAAGCCAACATTGTCCTCAGCTTATGCCAGGCCTGAGACCACTGATGGGAGCTACAGTGCAAGTTGAGACCAGTTGCCACTTGTACTGGGATTGGGGACACTTAGCAAGAGGTATAGGGCATGCTGAGGTCAGCTGCTTCTTGTATGGGGATTTTGAGCCTTTGAGAGATTTTAGGCAAGTGCACACAAGCTGAGGCAGACTGCTTGTGTGAAAAAGCCACTGGATGCAGCTCAAGGCTGGTGTACGTGTTGGATGAAACTGAGTCAGCGAAAATCACCAGAGCAGGGCAAATGGAGTTAGCTAGGTTAATGGAGAGATCTGATTTGGTGCCTGCTTGTGCTTGCTGGCTGAGTGGGCTGAGGACTCAACAAAGGAGCAATAATGCCTGACAGCGCTTCTTTCCTAGAGAGATTTGCGCCTCCAGCCCTTGCCCTAAAGCTAGTCAATTCAGTTCCTCCCAGTGTACTCCTGGCATTTTTCAAGCTGTTGCCTCTGTGCTGGAGCCCAAAGCAAGTAAGTCTATCTGAGGGCCCTTTAAGGCATGCAGAATCCAGGTCTCCAGCTTCCTTCTGTGTTACTTGAACACAATCCTCATTGTTTTTCGCAGCCAGATATTTTGGAACTCTTCTCGGCACTGGTGCACAAGACTGCAGAGCCACATGTGGGCCTGACACTCTCACTCCTCAGGGAGAACATTGGCAGCTGAATTATCTCTCCTGATTCTTAACTGATGCACTGTGGGTGAGGGACCT